CCACCTTTATAAATAACCTTTTGTTCCACACAAATCTGTAGATAACAGAGTCTAAATCCATCCTTATGATGAGGTAACGGAATACATAAAGTAAAAACCAGATGGTTTCCCACAAAGGAGTGTCTCTGATCCAACAAGAAAGCAACAGGTCCAAAACGTGTCCTCATACAACAAGGATTCACCGTGCAGCTTTGCATGCGTGTTATTACTAAACCCAGCTGGCAGCCAACCAACCAGTGGGACCTCCATTAGATCCCACTGGCCATCGTGGGAACATTCCTGACACAGCAATATTCCATAATTCCCACCATGTGTGGTTTTTCCAGAGGCGAGGGCTCACTGAGAGCGTGGAGAATCCCACTGAGGAGAGAGGAGATGGGCTCACTGTAATGAAAACCAGGCTGCACTTACTATGATAGAACAGCTGAAGCTACAGTAAATAATAGGAGAGCATTATCTCAATAATGAATACTGCTGGAGGGAATCTCCGATCACAATGCAGACTCATTTGTTTTAATGTTGTCTCCTCTGTTTAAGATCTATATGCGTCTAAATATAGTTTGGTTGGATTAGAGGAGTTATAAAATGTTATTTAACATTAAAATTTCTTCTTAAATAGTCTTTAGTCTTTGTTTTTTGAATGCAGTTCAGTTCAATTAGGGCTTCACCTCATGATTATTTTTCAAATTGATAGCAAAAGGTCCCTTAAACAAGACTTTATGAAACCAAACCAGGTGAAGCTAAAACTTTTCCACTTAAGTTGGCTGGAAAGAGCATATTGACAGATGAAAAATATATTTTTTTATCTTTAATGCAAAATATTCATAAATTTTTTTCCTAATATAGGTATATTTACTGCTCTAAGTGGGCTGTTCTGTCAACTAAAGTAATAATAGTACTAATTGATTACTAAATTAGATTAATGATGATTACTTGTTTCAGTCCTAGCGAGAATACATGTTACATTACCACTTTTTCTTGGTCACTTACTTTGTAAATAAAGTTACATAAGCAGTAACTGATTACATGAAGGTGAGTTCCTGATTATTGGAATCGCCTCTTTTGGTGGAATAAAGATGGAGGTCGTGATATTAAGGTGGGCTAATGTTAATATCAATAAAAAAAAACAATAATAAAGGAAAGCAAACCACAAAAAAACAAAGGAAAAAAACTAAATCACTTTCTCACTCTGGATTGTTTGGCAGGTTTTAACTAAACCTAAATGCCGACACATACTAAAATTAAGTTAGATTTCCAAGTGATTGTTCCTTTAAGGATCCAATTAAATCCATTGAATAGTTCAGGTTTTTGTGCCGCATTATTATTAAAAAGAAAAAAGAACTCATTTAGTACATACAAACAACAAGTGTTGCTCTTATTATGGTACTACCCATAGCATTAGAATCAATAAATTAGCAATTAATAATTTTAGAATGATTTAATAATGTTGTGATGGAATTTTAATGAATACAACTCCAGTTAGTGCGGGGCCTTTAATTGCATTTGCAATATAGTCACAATTTAGCTAGGTATAAATTGTTAAAACATATAGGCACTCAGTTTTAGTCACATTACATTTAACATGAGTCGGACTATAAATTTCATCACTCCAGTCCTTTAGGTGGTGGTTATGCGCTTAAGGTTGATTTGCCGCCACACAGAAAAGAAGAGACGGTTCCAGCTAGGATGCCGACAAATGCATGATCATAGAAGTAAGAACCGTTTCACGCAAAGGTTACTGTAAATTCCTGCAGCAACGGAGTCTTAAGGTCAATTTATACTGCTAACGCATAGCCTTTGCAACTGCCAAATCTGTCTCTGTGCGCGACCACGCCCCCCCACACAGAGGTTCTGCAACCATCGTCGTGCACCAAAAAAAATCCTGACTACGCTTTGGACGGTTGCAAACCCGCGCAGACCTCAAGCGGAAGTGCGCAGACAAAAAGCAGGTGTGATTGGTCCTCGGTATGCCTTTCCGGCTGTCTGTATGATCCTCCTTCTCGATTCGGTGCCAGGGCGCGCCATTTTTAAAAATCGACGAGTAATAACAACAATGGATAACCACGACGAAAGGTTGATCGAGGAGGTTCGGAAGTACAACCACTTGTACGATGCCTCACACGTGTTGTTTT